ATGAAAGAGGAGAATAACCCCCAAAAATTTTGGAATAAAGTGAAAACTGTTATGTTTAAAAGGCCAACCACACATTCCAAAAAGTCGGTGTCGGACTACACCATGGTTAACTGAGAAGGTGTTTGAATTGGCAGAAAAATGATGCAGAGTAAAAGAGAATGATTGGAAAGGGAAGAATGTAGGAGAGAATATGCAAAGGCAGACTAGACAAGAGCAAATATATAAGGGAAAAATGCATGGAACTTGAGAAGTGTAAAGAGAGTAATAATATAAAAGATAGATTCACAGTGGTCAGACTTCTTACCAAAAGCTTTTCACTGTGATCAAACTTAATAATAAATCATGTTGGCAGACTCCTGACTGAGGGTGATGATACTAAACACAGGTGAAGAGATTACTGTGCCAATCTGTTTGCCTCACCGGAGCCACTCATAATACAGGCTGGCAGAAAAGAGAATACAGGTTTGGAGCTGTCAGTCTTGTGAGAGAGAGAATGAAGCCTGGGAAAAGCACCCGGGGATAGATAACAGGCCTGCAGAATTGTTAGAAGTGATTGGTGAACACGGTATTGATCTTAGGTGGAAAATTTGTAATGGCGTACAGATTACTAGAAATTAGGCAGAGGGCTGAACAAAGGGCACTTTTCTGTTCTTGCCAAAGAAGGGAGACATAACCAAGTGTAGTAATTATTGTACCATCTCCCTGATTTCACACATGAGCAAAGTTCTGGTTTCCGTAATCCAAGATTGCACGATAGAAGTAGAACTACCACCATCACAAGCGGGTTTCAGAGGTTTTGAAATATGATGCTGGCAAAGGTTCTCATTCCGCATGGATGGACAAAAAAGGAATACCTATGTTAAAAGTATTATTGTAGAGAAGCAGACTCTGATGTTGGAAATGAACAGATGAAATATATGTACTGTGATCACACTAGGCAAAGAGATAGAAATAACCTAGAGAATGATATGGAATGATGGGGTTGTCACAGTAGGAAACAATCAGTGAGGAAATGGATGGTATGCAGCAGATCACTGGAAGGTCAGCTGCTGAGTGCTGAAAATTAGCAATGGATTGTGGAGCCTTCCAAAAATTCCGCCATCATCTCCAATATTTAGACCTGAATAAATGGATTTATCTATACAGAAACCAGCCATCCTACCAACATTCCTGCAAACAAAATTCCCTTCATGTGAAGATATGTGACTATCAACTAAAAGGGGAACAATGATGGTTGAACCAAACCATCATTGGGAATATGAATGAAAATGTGTAGACTGTTTTACAGCATTCAGTCAGGAATGTGCCATGCCTCAGGAGTGACTTTCCTGGTGGTGTTTAAAATGATGTGGCAGGATTTTATAAAGGGGGCTAGAAAATGTCATGTCCAGTGATGAGGTTTGTAGTTATACAAGCAAGGTTAATTATAAGGATTATCTGTCTCATGATGTGTGGTGTAAATTGTTTTGTGCAAGGGTTAGGAAGGTAGTAACCTCAATTCCCACACAAAATTGAATTTGTCTAGACACACTAAGGTTTTTACTTGGAGGTGGGAGAAAGGAATTAGAGTTTTGCCTTCTTCTGAAGCAACAGACTAGATAGCCGGTCCAATTCTGTAAACCAAAGTCTAGTTAACCAAATTCCACTAATAATAAAAAAGCACCTGTTGCTCCCCATGTCATATACTACTATCCCACTTTTATTAGTATCAACATTTGCAATAGTATTGAGATAAAGAAATCCCATTTCACATAGGCTGCCACTCATTGAACTGAGCCAAACTTTATTACTACTGAATTAGCATGACAAAAAATAAAAGAAAAATATGTTTGATCTCTGGTAATTGTCACATCTGGAAGACTCAGAAACTTACTGGAATAAGAAGGCATTTCAAAGGCCTGATCACGTCCCCAGTTCTTCTTGCCCATCTCCCTGAGACGGAGGATACAGTCCTTCCCATAGTTAGTTCGAAGTCAAGGACTTTGTTATTTTCAAGGCTGAAAAGTCAGACACTGTTACTCTATAAATCAGAAATTCCAGTGTCATCATGTTCATTTGTGCTCTTTGGCAGACATATAAAAAAAATCACAGACTAAAATGATTCCCATAAATGGTGCAAATTATGTTTGAAAGGATGTTTGGCAAAGCAGGAGGTTACAGAATATTCAGCCTCTGAAAAATTGTTTCCAGCAGTCTGAATCAAAAAGAGAAACACATCTCATTGGAAAGCAGATGGAGGAGGCAGGATGATTCTGTAGTGAAGATAATAATCACTTCAGAAATCAAGCTTTCCTTGCAGTCAAACAGGGGAGTGAAAGTCAGGGGAAGAGCTATTTGGAATTGCCAGTCTGTATAATGGACAGTGAATTTAAGGAATTTATTCCTGCACGGAAAAAGCCCAACTAGAGAAAAAGCTATTCCTGTCATCTGCAATATTCATTCCAACCCAATAACATGGATTCATTAGAAAAGGCAGAAATGATCGTGCCCCATCTGAATAAAGTATTACCTAGTGACTGCTTGTAATGTATTTCAGCTGAATTGCCCTGTGAACTCCATTAGCTCCTACAGTTCAGAGCCAAATAAAAAATGCAATTTCCATTTTTAATTCATATTTTAGTCATACAACATCATAGGATTATTCTCAGTGCTAATGTTTTTGCCACATTTTCTTACAGTGAAGATTTCATTTACAGCCTAAAATGAAAACATTTCTGGAGTAACCGCATAATGAAACAACAATGTTAAAATTTCTGAATACAGGAAGAGGACTAGCAGATGCAGAAATGGCACTGAACACATTATGAAATTGATCAACTAGTGGGCAAAAGTTATCTTCCTTAGATTTGGAACCCAGATAATATCATTGGAAGGGACCTCCCTTTCATCTATTCTTTTGTACTTGGGCCAAAGTGTCCACTACACCAGAAGTATAGATATTTTGTATCAAAATATGCTGCCAGCTACACCAACATAAATCCAGACTAACTGAAGTGGAGTCAACTGAATTACTCTGGTTTTACAGCAGTGTAACTGAAATCAGAATTTGGTTTTGTGCCTCTAGCTATTACAGTGATTGGCACTCTGTAAATATGATAGATCAGTCCTCTACCCACACTTCAGCCATTATGCAATCTCTCCTGTCTATGTTAGGACCACCTCTGAGTGACCTCTCTTTGCAAACTAGTTCATTGATCAATCTTTCTGTTATAAAGTGCCTATGACTGCTATTTTTGATTCACATATTCCCATGAAAATACGAAATTGTTCAAAATATGTGAACATGTAAATGTTTCCATTTCAAGTCAGTGTAATACTGAGTAGTTAAGCCCATTGTCTCTGTAGGAGGACTGCAATAAAACAGAGTTCCATCACCCACTCCCCCAGGAAAATGTGTGGGTCAAGAGTGAGGACAGGAAATCACTGCAAGAATCTTCTCATGGAGCTTTAGCCTCCATTGTTCCATCAGGAGGGTGGGGGGGATGGGAATTGCTGACCATAGGGCCATCCCACAAAATCTCGCAGGATCCCCTGCAAGCCACACTATGCAAGCCCGCCTGCATCTGTGCTGTGCCATAGCACCACTTTCCATGTTCTCTAGATGGTGACAGGGATCCTTGTTAAAAGAGGAGCCTCACTGTGGAGATGGGACCAACAGAAAGTTAATTCAGCTCAGTGCTGTATTACTTTCCCCAAGGACTCCAGTGAATGCAGGTGGGGAGGTTCTGGATCAGACTTGGCCTTGCCCCTAGCTACCACTCACCACTTGCAGATCTTTGAATTCATGGAGTCAGTGCAATAGAGGGAGATGCTGCTGCAAAGGCAACAGAGCCTCACGTTCTGAGCAGGAGGAGGTTGATTGGGGTATGATCTCGCGCACAGTTCTCTTTCATTGTGAATGATTACCGGGAAATAGTGTTAGAAAAGAAGAAACCCTGGGAATGTACAGAATTCGGTATTAACCATTGCTGTGAGGATTACATGCACTCTAGAATTATGTTGATTAGTAATTAGTTGAAAGCAGATGGGGAATCATGCTATCTCCCCAGGAAGTTAATGCAAACTAGTTACAGTATTTATATCTAATTGAGACTCCCCTGCTAAAATATGTCCTAAATAAACATTCAGAACTGGAATTATCTTGACATTTCAGTTAAAAATAGGCAAGATCAAATATTGGATTTGAAATGATACAATAAAACACACTTTAAGTGTTGCTCTAAAGGCAGTTCAAGAGGCCTCCATACTCAACAGATGATCACTGTTGGTTTCTTGTCCTTATTTTATTTGTTTCAATTTGTAATACATTGCTGTAACTGCCAGAAATCAAAAATACAGCCCCAGAAAAGTATTGAACCAGTAGCTGCACCTAAAAATATTCAAAGATAAATTCAAGACTTGACCAATACCCACCTTATCACATGCACCACATCAGCCCTTGTCATGTACCTCGCTCCCCAAAAACCTGGTAAATAGATGGGCCTTGCAGTGAACCTTAATTGTCAACAGACTGGGGCTATTTCCAACCAAGTTGAAAGCAGTAGATTGCAAGGTTGAGGTGCTCTCAGAGAGAATGCCTGCTGGCAGCTCCCTTCTCTTGTAGACTGAGAGGGCTCCAGCACAAATACCTGAGATTGTTATATAAAAGAATGGCAGAACCTGCATCAGAAGGAACATCACTACTGTGGTCCTTAATAGAAGACGCATTAAAGTTATGTTCTCCCTAACAGAGAGTAAACTTGCTAATTGATATAACTTCTACGCTGCCCCTGAGGTCAGTGCCGGTGCTAGCCCATTGGGGCCCTAAGAAGGAATATTTTGGGCCCCTCCACACACAACACATACTGATAATTAATACGGGAGGCCTTGAGCTGCTTGGGGCCCTAAGCAATTGCTTAGTCTGCTTATGCCTAGGGCCGGCTCGGCCTGAGGTCCAGAATAAACTGGAATAAGATCTCATGCACTGCATATTATTGCATACAATTATTTCTATTTGACAGGCTGTGGCAAAGAAAACAATCAGAATGATCCTGAAGACTCCATGGATAACACTAGACATTATCAGTGTACCAAGAAACACTTTGAAGAGAAGAAAAGTGAGTCATCATCTTTGGTGTCATCCATTGAAGATGAGCAGAAACCTCTCTTCTCTGAAATAATCAATTACCCGTCAATGACAGGGAAAACTACAGTGCTGGACTTCGAAGAAGTGGTGCGTGCAACAGAAAGGATCCATATGGACAAAAGAAGCCATTCTTGCAGAGGTAATCTATTCCATGTTGCTATTTTGTAAAGATGGCCTATTCATTTTTGCTCTGATGATCAGTGGGAGAGAAAAAAAACCTCTTCAGAATGCTTCCATTGACAAATACATTAATTTACCTTTTAAGGGTTTCATGAAACATTGACAAAATAATCTTCTTTCATGTCAAATGTGGAATGTTCAAAGAACCATTTCCCTTGAGAGGCACTATGGTTTGGCATGAGATTGGAATCCAGGAGCTCTTAAATTTTAGTCTAGGCTTTGCAAATGTCTTCCTGAATCATCTTGGACAAGTCATTTAAGCCAACATTTTCATTTCATTTCATAATGTTGGATGCCTCTAATTTTTGGATACCGAAAATAAATGGGTACCTTTGAAAAGTTGGGCCTTACTGTCTCTGGATTAAATTTTCCCTTAGTTAATGATGGCTTTCACTATTGTAAACAAGGCCACAGGATTCACAGTTGTGGTGAGTCCATCAGATGGAGATTGGAGTGAAAAAAGTTGACTGCCCATCATGCTACAGTGTTGGGTGGCTGTATAAAACCCAAAATAGAGAGCTAGATAGGGATACTAAATCTGAGTTTCACAAACCCAGTGTAGATAAAGGGGATAAATAAATATTTCATTTAGAAAATGTTGAAAAAACATTTTGATTTTTTTCCAAAAAGTATTGGTTTGTTTTTGACTTAAACGATTTGGTGAAATTGACATGAATTCATGAAATATTTTGATGTCATCAAATTTCCATTTTTTGCACACACACAAAAAAGTTTTGCTCAAAAACTTTTGCCAGCTTCACCTATTTTCTTCCTATTTTATACTATTGAACATTTAAAATAGTGTTGAAGCAATGCATAACAATGAGATTGAAAAACGTTATCTAGTTCTGTAATATTACTTAATTAAAAGTGATGAAATATCACACAGGAACACATCTTGACTTCAGTGGGAAATTCGCTTGAGTAAGAAGAGCAGAATTTGGTTCTTAATATATGGCGTATGGTTTACAGTGATTAAGCAATCTCCGTTAACTTAATATGATTGTTTTATATCATCTCATCAAACATTCTTTTTATCTTTCTTTAAAGCCTTAATTTTCTGTGATAGGGTGAACTAATGAAAAGTCTATTTACACAATGTTAAAGGTTTTGTTTCTGAAGATGCATTTACAGGTGCTTCTGTTTTAAAGGACTACTTCTGTGTTTAGTGCTTATTGCTTTATTCCTCAACAATTTATTTCCTGATACAATAAATTTAGCCACACAAATTCAGGATCAACTTTAGGTTTCTAAAAGAGTATTTTAAATTATTCTAAAAACTAATCCAGCAGAATAACATATTTTTGATAGTCCAAAGGCCAAATTATGTGACATCTGGTCTTCTCAGGGTAAGGTCAAATGCTGATATAAACATGTTTTGTACATATTGCTGTTTGAAAGCTTACCTTGCCCCTGCCAGTAGCCAGAAATGTGTCCTTGCAGCTATAGCAACGTTTGCCAAGGCAACCTAGTACAGATTTTACTCGGAGCTAAATTTAGCAAGTCTAAAGGGTGTACATTTTGATTAAGACCACATACAAACCAACATTTCGATGGGGTGAATAGGTATCTCTGTAATTCTGCATTTTTAGTATTTGTATTTGAAAGCTGATCACCTTTCTTATAGCTTCTATAAAAAGTCAGATTGGTTTTAAATTAAATTCTCATTCCTAATATCAATTAGAAATTGATTTCATGATCTCTAAAGGCAGTTGTAAATCTAATATGAGTCTATAAGTATAAATCTTGTAAATATACATATAAATGAACTTCTGTATAAGCTTCCATAACTTATTACCATTACGAAAGATATATTTTTAGTCTAGTCCTTATTTTATTTTTTGTTTTAAATGTTAGCAATTAATGTACTGTCCATGAAAGGAAGGGATTATTAACCCTGAATTGGATAGTGTGGGACAGGCAGTCTAAATGTTGCCAGTGTAATCCTGACTTGCAGCACTCATTTTATTTCAATCCTGAGCCTCTCTTAACAGCACAAGGGTAGCTTCTATGTAGCTGATGCTACCCCCTTCCACCCCCCACTGCAGAACAATGACATTTTCCACCGTTTGGGGCCTCCCATGGCCTTTATTCAGGTCATAGGATTTCATTCTTGAACTGTTTAGATTAACTAGGCCATATATTTATATTTAGTTCATATCTTGAGAACAATCCTTCATTCTTCCAAGGCCATGCTGAGTAGTAATGTTCTGACTGTCTCCTGGCTACCCTATCGCTTTTGTGTTCATACATGTGGGACTACCTAAGAAGATGCACAGAACAAGGGGAGTGACTTATCCCTGAAGAATATGTCTAGATTAGAGTTTATTATGGCCCTGTTTTGAACTCAAGTTAATTGGCAATTGGATTGTAAACATTAGTCTAGATACTCCACAAACATTTGTCCAGGACACAAACACTTGTCATTCAACCCAGGGCTGAGCCAGAGACACCAAGACCAGCTACAAGAAAATATGTGATTTTAGTGGATGATATATATGTAAAATCTAAGGGATTTTATAGCACAGTAAATAAGAAGTGTAAACAAACAGCATTTATTGTTTGCATTTCATTCCTGAAATTCATTGTCTATAATTAGTGCGTTGGTTTTCCAATTTCCTGCAAACATTCTACAAACAGATATGGATTAAGATTATGCTGGGTCTGAATCTGTCAGAATTTTGCTCTCTGCTCCTCCCGGAAAGCTCTCCAGTTTCCTCAGACAACTGGAAATTGTACCATGCATGCTAGCTGAGTCAAAATTACACAATTCTCACCCATTCCCTTTCTCCTGGGGGCATGTAGTGAGTGGTCAGAGAAGCTGAAGGAGCAACCATGAAGCCAAGGTGAAATCTCCTCCTCCTACTTCAGCCCTATTCATATTATCAGTGCCTACCCTATGACATTCACAGATTCACTGTAGCCCTAGGAAACCCTGGGACCCCACAGATCCCAAAGATCCATTAGTCCAATAAAGCTCATCTCCCCCTTCTCTGCTAAAAGGAGAGGAAGAACTCTTCCTCCTTTTTGGTTTAGTGGGTGAGAGCTCCCCTTCCTGATTCAATCTACTTTAACCATTGTATCTAACCTTGGGAGGGACTTCCTTTCTTTCCTGTGGAATATGCTCCCATCAGGTAAAAGGATTAGCTTGGGGCATTTGGACAGGTCTCTCTACTGTCCTCCAGAGGCCCTTCTTTCTTATAGGTAAGTCTCTAGCTGATATGGTTGCAAAGAAAACCTTGAAAATGTGAAATGAGTGTAACTGATGAGGATGGAGTCATCTGCCTGGGTTTGAAGAGAGTCTGAATTCGTAGCTCTGAGGAGTGACCTGCCTCACCCTTTTCAAAGGGTGCTAACATTAATGCCAGTTATAATTCTTTAAATGTCAACATTGTTGATGATTACACTGCTCATCAAAGTATGTACAAAAGGAGATGGAGTATATGATGGTGTTCTACTCCAGCATTTCCCAAAGACTGTGAATAAAGGGTGCACCAAGGACTGCTGGGGCAAGCATGGAAGATTGTACAAACTAAGATGTTGGCCTTTAACAACATAAGAAGGAATTGCGAGACAGAGCTGTGATTGGTTTAATTTCCCTAAAGAGGGAGGGCTTAACTTTCAAAGGTTTGTGAAACACTGGTTTATGGGATTCTTGGCTGAACAGACTGCTACCTCCCAAAAATTAAGTGTAGAGACTGTAACTCTAACTCAGTCATGCCATGCATTCCATAAATTCAAATACATGTCTATTCTTAGTGGATCTGTACGTTTATACTTCAAGAGGTTTGTTTTTTGGCAGACATCAGTGATAAAAGAAACTGGGAGTGGGAAAACACCAAGGGGCACCAGGAGATCTCCAGACAGTCAGCATTACCTCATGTTACATGGGGCATCTGTGAAACTGAAAGTGAGCTGACCTATGGGGAAGTGGAGCACCGGCTAGATTTACTTCAAGAACAACTCAACAGGTAAAAGCAATTATGTGACAGGATCAGATTGGGTTGATAACACCATTGATATCAATGGAGTCACAACAAGGATGAATTTGGTGTGGGATATTCATAAGCACCTAAATGAATCATAAGTACAAATCCCATTGCGAGTCAATGGCACTTGTGCTTCTAAGTCACTTAGGGCCAGATTTTTTAAAGTATTAAGGCTCCTAAAGATGCAGATAGGTGAATCGCAGAAATCACAAATGTGACTAGACAACCACCTGCATCTTTAAGTGCCAAAATACAAATCTGGCCCTTAAGCCCTTTGAAAATCTCATTCTGGGATGGGTAGGTGCAGGGTTTTAACTCTCTCGTCATCCCTCTTTCTCCTGAACTTTTCCTCCAAAAGCAGATCCAGGCTTTCTACACACAGTTCCTGTGCCCATAAAATGGGAGGTGCTGTGCTTCCCTGGGGATGTACTGAGCAAACCAGCTGCCTTCCTCGCAAAAGCGGCATTTGTATTGTAGGCATCTTCACTTTTTGATGTGTAAACCTCCTTTTGCAGCTGTCTCTATAATAAACAGCCATGAGAGAATCACAAGTGCAAAACACACCTACTACAATAGAAAACAGTCATTTTCTTTGTCAAAATAACGCATACGTAAGTAACCTTTGCTAATACAGCTCATCTTCCTTCTTCCCCTCCCTATTGGTGTCTAACATACATAGTTGGTGGCTAAACAGAATAGCTTATGGAATCTTAAAAATATGGTGAAGGTATTCTGATCATACACTATAATTTATACTGTCATTTGCCATGTAATTTCAGTTCATTTGAAGTTGGTCTCTGACTTTTTATTATTTTCCCCAGCATTCCATTATTTCAACATTTTTGCTATGACAAGCAAATTTAACCCGAAATTTACCATGACACAAATTCAGCCTTAATTATACTTTAGTATATCTTCATTGGCACACTGCCTTGTACATTTTAAAAAGCAATTGAAAGCCAGTATAAGGACATCTTGCCCCCTTTGCATTCTGTGAACCAATCAAACTTCAGTATTCTCATCTCTAGTGACATACTATATGTTACAGGATACATGTTTTAACATGTAAGTTGCAATTCCTATAAATCATGAATGAAGTAGAACTATGCAGGTATTTATCTACCTGTCTAATGTAAGTAGGCACTTACAGGGCTCCCATCACAGCATATGAGGACTTATACATAATAATGTCTTGCTTATTATTCTTTCCTTTTCTTGAAATCCTAAATATATCTAGAGCTATTGTTCAGGGCTGGTATTAGGTTTATTGCTGCCATAGACAAAGATTGGGAAGGGGGGAGCGGAGTTTTCTGATGAACTGCTGAGATTTTAGTTTTATTTCTTTCTTTTTCTGGATTTTTATCCACATCCCACTTCATTTATTAATTCTTTTGGTGCTTTTTAAGGTACCTTTGTGCCTCCTGGATTCTGGGCCTGGTTAGTCCCTCACACAGGCCAGATCAGCTGCAAGGGACTACTCTAATTTATGCCAGCTTTGAACAACTATTCTGGTGGCCCAGAAAAGTCAGAGAGCAAAGTGCCCTGCGCACACCTCCCTGCCGCCTCCTACCCTCAGCTGTGCCCCTGATATGATGCTAAACTGGGGGTACATGGTAGACTGGTATAGAGTTTTATACAAGCTGGAAAAGACCAGTGACAACCTATCACTATCTTTCTGCTGCTTTTATGCCCAGCCATAATATGGTTGTTTTTTAAGGGTTTGTTTGTTTGGCTGTTTTTTGTGGGGTGGTGTAAAATGGTCAAGTGAGAAAGAATGAAGAGTAGAAGAAATTAGAACTCTCCAATTTGGAGTGGTGGGGAACCGAGAGGAGGGCCATTCTAGAGATAATTTTTAAAAAGGTAGGGGGAGCAGCGGCAGAGAGGTACAAGAGGGCAAAATTATCAACCAAGTTCTCAAATTCTTGCACATCTTCTGTTCAAAAAGGAATTACAACATAGTTTTAGCAGACATGCTCTCTGGATGGCGCTGCTGCTGCATTTTTTCCCTGTGGTATCGGCAGGATGCTTACTCTGAGGTCAACATTGGCATATTGGCAAACAGCACGCAACGGAAGGGAGCTGAGCAGGGGATGAATACGACATGAATGGGTATAACCCCAGGGCTTGAGCCGTGTATTAGGTTGCTTTTATAAAAGCTGATGCCACAGAATCACTGGCAACAACAGCTGACCTTGGAGCAATGTTTCCTTTAATATCTATGTGAGGAGCAAAAGCATCTTCAGCGTCCATTAGGGGACGGAGGTCAGGTGCAAGTTTAGGGCCTAAGTGCACAGCAAAAATCTGCTGGAGCACTGCAGAGCTGTAGTTGGGACATTCACAACACGGAGGGCGGTTAACATAAAAATTTGTTTACAGTTAAAATGATTCTGTCAGGAGATGAGTTCCCATACAGGAGGATTTATATCCAGATTACAATCCGTGATAACACATTGTGCGGCCTCCTAGCAGCTGGGAGGCACAAGAGGCATTATTACCCATTGCTGAGTCCGTGAATTATGTTGCAAGACAACTTGAAAATCATTTCCCTGGCCATGGCAAGGGAAGTGTGGAGAAGACAGTCAGACTCAAATGTTGTGACTTACACCAAGGTTTATTTAAACTTTCAGGATTTATCCACCAAATCATGAAGAGTTAGTCAATCAGTCAAACAATCAATAAATATACCACTTTTGAACATTGACTATGTCGAGTTTAGTTCTGAATTTTGAACAGAGCTTCAGATCAGTTCTTCCTCCCCCCACCCCTGAATCCTACTTTAAATTCTAATAATTCATCATGATAGGGTGACCAGATGTCCCATTTTTAAAGGGACAGTCCCGTTTTTTGGGACTTATTCTTATATAGGCGCCTATTACCCCCACCCCCATCCTGTTTTTTCACAGTTGCTATCTGGGAACCCTAACCATGCACCTAAAGAGATGACTGTTTTCAAGACCTTTACTTAAAACAAGCAGATTGCCCACAGTTTCCTGCTGTGGGAAAACATAAATTATGCTGCCTTGTTGTGTTGTATCCCCTTAGAAGTAGCTTTGGGACTGTCAGAGTTTTCTGTTGCTTTAGAAATCCTGGACCAGATCCTCATCCTGGATAAATCAACACAGCTCCAGTTAAATCAATGGGGGCTATGCCAGTTTATGTCAGCTGAGAATCTTGTCCCCAATATTCATATCAATTGCAAACAGAAATGATAGTAATGTACTATTCTTAAATTAAACTCTAACTAAGGTCTGGAACAAACATTAGAATCTATATTCTGTATGAGAGAGCAAGCTGCTAGCCATGGAATGGCTCAGTGCTCCCCCTTCTGTTCTTTCCTATTGAAAACATTATAATACCGTTACACCAGGGGTTCTCAAACTGGAGGTTGGGACCCCTCAGGGGGCCGCAAGGTTATTACATGGGGGGTCACAAGCTGTCAGCCTCCACCCCAAGCCCCGCTTTGCCTCCAGCATTTATAATGGTGTTAAATATATAAAAAAGTGTTTTTAATATATAAGGGGGAGTCGCACTCAGAGGCTTGGTATGTGAAATGGGTCACCAGTACAAAAGTCTGAGAACCCCTGCGTTACACATAATGGCTTGCTTTGTTAATAAGCTGCAGATCCCTCTTGAATGCATTTGTAATTGGTGTGTTAAAACATAATCATCCATGACCATGTGTTAATTGATTTCATATTACTTCCCTAGGCTTGAATCCCAAATGACTGCTGACATTCAAACCATTCTGCAACTACTGCAGAGGCAGTCAACACTCATTCCACCTGCATATAGTATAGTGACTTCAAGTGCAGAATATCAACAGCCAGCTATCCAGGTGATGCAAAGCCTTCATCCTGTAGTATCTATTAAAACAGATAGAAGCTTCAGTCCTTCATCACAGGTATGGATGTGCCCAGAATCAACTATAGTGATTAATTAACGTTGTTACCTATTGCTGGAAGACTGAGCATTTGTTTTGTAGTTTTCTGAACAGGAAATTGTAACTTGGCTAAATGTCTCCACAGGATTCATCTAGTTATATTATTTTGGAAGAAAATCTCAAAAGGTCAAATTTCCTACTGTGTAGAAGCCAAATATAGGTCTCAAAGCTACAAATTTTGTCATCACCATGCATTTAGCAGTGGTTGTGGACCCCACAGAAAAATATAGAGGAAGGGGGGAATAAGAGACAGCCCCAAGTCACAAAAGGCTAGATTGTGGTTAGCCCTGCAGGGGACCATGTACAAGGACTCAAGAAATCTCCAGTCTTGACCCAAGGCTTGCCACTGTCCAAGTCTTTAAAGCCTTGAGCCACATCTTGTTTGCACTGACTATGCAGAAACTCAACTGATGCATCCAGGAGTGTATGCTGCCTAAGTGGGTGGGGGAGGATTACACTTCCTCAGCACTCCTGGAGGTAATGTACATGTGCCAGAGAGCTGCCACCAGGGCATCTCTGCACACTTTCTATCACAGACTCTGACTTAAAAGATACAGAATAACCCAGTGTTTGGATCTGTATCCAGATCCACACTGCCCCAAAGTTAGGAATTTGATACAGTCACAGATTTTGATTCTGAACTGCCCCAGATTTCAGAGGTATTCAGACCCAGGAGCTCAGTGTTGGTCCATCTCAAGACAGTTCAGTCTCTAATTGAAAATTTTCTTAAGATATAGAACCAGGAACAGCTAGCCTGAGGAAGAACGGGGGGATTCCCTGGTTTCTCCTCCAAATAAATCCTGGGCAGATTTGCATTCAACTACAATTAATCAAACACAGTATTTAGTGAAAATCATTGATTTCTCTGCTCATGTTGCAGACTCGGTTTGCAAAGAATGGTTTGGTTTGGTTTTTGTTTTGGATTTTGTTCATTTTCAGTAGAAACAGGAGTTTCCCATGAGACTGTTTTAAATATATTGTCACCTTATTTTTTTTTCCTTTCTCTCAGTGTCCTGAATTTCTAGACCTTGAAAAATCAAAACTTAAATCCAAAGAATCCCTCTCAAGTGGAGTGCATCTTAACACAGCCTCAGAAGACAATTTGGCTTCTTTTTTAGAACAAGAACATGACCGGTCTTTAGAGTTTCACCCACGGCATTGTAAAACTTATCTCCATTCCATTAGGCATCCTTCCTTGCCAGATTCTTCCCTAAACACTATAGGAATCTTGGGTCTACATAGGCATGTTTCTGATCCTGGTCTTCCTGGGAAATAATCCTTTTATACTATTACTTCACATAAAATGTAAGTGCTTTTAATGGCTGTCTCCCCACCCCCCCCCTTTTTTTTTTTTTTTTGTATTTAAATCCTCTATACTTGACTCAGGGGCTACAAGGATATACCATTATATGCAAAAGTACTGTATATTTTCCTAAATTTGAAGCTTGTAAGGTAAAGTTGAGCAGTTACAATGTAAATATATACATATAAAATGTATGTTCCAAATGTAAAACTGCCAGCATTCTCAAGGCACCTTATATTTTTTAATTTTTTTAAAACACATGCATGTTCTGAAATTACAATTTATGTTGCATGGAAATTACCATTTACTGATTTCACTGAAATGGTACTTTATTGTGGATATGCCTTCAAAGCAAATAAGAGACCAGGTGATGATGATGATAATCCACACGGTCATAACTCATATTCACTGAGCTATTCTAGTTCAAGCCGAAACCTTCTTCCAACTCACATTTGAAAAGATACAATTATCCTTCTTGTATTGAGCATTTTACAGTCAATGGTCATCATTCTGCTGCTTAGAGAAAGAATAAGAGAACAATGTCTATCAGGTTCTAAAACATGAAGATATAGTACAGAAAGCAGCCGCTTCAAAGCGAATTGAACGAGGTCACTATTTTAACAGACAGAACAACAATACTATACAATGGGAAAGTATCGTCACTGATTGCATCTACAAGACCACGCTAACTGAATAATTTAGGTTTTTAATATTTTGGGCTTTTTATTTTTATGCTCATCATGACTAAAAAGTTGGCTATCATAAACAGGCAGGTAGTTCTCATCTGTCACCCAAACATTATCAAATGCAATAAATATAATTTCTATGTAATACAGAAGACTGCGTTCCTTTTGTTCAGTGCGAACTACTAACAAGCTGTATAATTAAAATATTTTACATGTTTTCTTTTTATAATTATCATAATTGTTGTTTGTGATATCTCTTTTTACCTACTGGTCCCTCCATAGAGAGCTAGAGAATATATATATATATACACACATACATACACACACACACACCTATGTGCATTTGTATGTGTATACATATATACGTATATGTAATGTATATGTATATACATACAAATATGTGTGTATATATCTACACATGTATGTGAGTATAAATATATGTACATATACATATGTACATATGTAAAATCACTTTAAAGTACAGTTGTAAACTTTCTTATTACAAAACAGGTAATCTTGTGTCCAAAGCTGACTACACTAGAATAAATTGAGTTCAGGTCCATAGGCTTTAAATACAGTATGTACTGTATATGCATAATGCTTTGTCAATACTTAGATTTAATTTTATTAAAATATTATACTGCTTCAAATAGTGTGTTTGTTTTAGAAATAACTGACCTTTTTTATTCCTGTTTTTAAATATCTAAAGGTGGTCATGTGATTTTCTAATCCTAAATGAAGCTTTAAAGTAGAAATCCCCTTGGAGGGGAACTCTGCTGAGTTCTGAAAAAGCAGAGACACAGGCAAGTTAGTGGGTGGGCATATATAATTTAAACTATAACCCAACTGAAACTAAGGCTCTAGAAATGCTAAGGACTGAGGCAATGGCGATTGTCCCTCTCACATACAAGCACTGGTTCTGGCAGGTCAGAGTTTATAGTAGTGCCCTCACAGATTTTATATCTTGATTCATGGAAGCTTTAGTCATATCTAGCCAGTAGATAAACACAAGAGTCTCCTCCCCTTACGCCATTGGGTTAGTCATGATTTTATTTGTGTGTATGGAAATCAAATTTAACTTACTAATTTACACTGTTGCAAGTGAGAAGAGAATCAGGCCTTTAGCACATCCTCTTGCTCATTCTAGTTTTACATCAGCGGTGAAAGAACCCAACCCTGAAAGGTGTGGGGCGTCCTCAACTCCAACGGCAATCAGGAGATGTGGTGGTGGTTTCATACTTCCCAGGACTAGACCCTCAGTGAGCTCTGAATCAGGCCCAGTAGCATTCTCTGCTCAGAATCACTGAAATGAAACAGAGATGCTGAACAATGAGTAAATATTGTCTACCTTCACCTTTTTGTGCTGTAAGAGTTCATTGTTTCTGCTTTATCATAACGAAGCAACCATCTGCTGAATGTTAATGCCGATTACCAAGTACAAATCAGCACAATTTCTAGCAAAACCACAAATACTTTTGTAGATTAAAAATAGTCTGATTTAAATTAAGAATTAAATTAAAGTAAATGAGAAAGGCAGAGTTTAGCGAATTCATTTCATACTATAGCTTTCCACAATCATGCAGTGGGATGAACTGTAATACACAGGCCAGGGACAGCTCAGAGGAGTACAGCTGCTTCTCCTTTCACGAGCCAGGAGAGGGATAAGGGGAGGAGCTCTCCCTTTGCATGTAGCAGAGGAGGTCTCCCCAGGCAGAGGACTCTGAAGTGGGAGCTGCTGAAGGGGATGGTGCTTGGATAAGAAGTTTCTGGGGCTCCCAGCCTCTTGCCAGTAGATGGATCAGCAAAACGTGATGAGGGAAGTCATAGTATCACAGCTAGGAGACATCCATTCTCCAGTAATGGGGGAAAGATCAGTCCACCCTTCAAGTGGCAATGAGGGAGGAAGACCCACTGCCTCCAGCTCTTTCTCCCCTCAGGGAGCACATAACGTAAGATTCTATACAAAACCCTATCTTTGGAATGGTTTTAATTTTCTACATTGCATGAAATGGCATCAGGTATTTCAAACATTTCTGGCCAAGTCCCACCATTGTCCCTCATTCTTGTTTTTGAATCAGTAAGATGGCTCCATCTTGGTGACGTTTACATTTATAGAAATGGGCATGGAACACCTACTGTCAAGGCTGAATCCCCACTCTGTCACTTTGAGTGCAGAAGGTAGGGAGGGGCCTGCAAGGATTCTAAAAATTAATACTTGCCACTCCAGGCTTGTCCCTCTCACGTACAAGATTATAGCTTCTCTCTGACCTTGGCTTGGTAAACGCTGCCACCACCCAAATGCAAAAAAACCCCTTTGAATCCAGGAAGGAGCACTTGGGAATTCCTCCCTGTGGGGTACCCTTCTAGCCTTTTCACACACACACACACACCCTCCCCGCCCCTGGGAAGAGCTGAGAAAGAAAACAAAGGAAATTAGCTGTGGCTACCAGCTAATCAAATAACGTGCACAAACCTCTTAGGACACCAAAAATCCAATCCAGTTCTTTAAAAAGGTGCATTTTATTAAAAACAAAAAGGAAAAAAATACATCTGGAACTTAGGCTTTTTACTAGATCTTAAAAGAAACAATTACAAAAATTAAGCACCCAAAATAGCTTTCTTGGGGGTTCAGCTTAAAGTTTACAAGCAAACAAAAGCATATAAGGTTAGCACTGAGGAGATCCACAAGCCAAAATAATTTTAAAAAAACAAACCCCTAATCGCGTCTATTTGAACATGCCCTGTCCAATAATTTCTTCTGGGTATGGAAGATGAATTTTTACACCTGGTTCAAGCCTTACACAGCATTCCTGCCTCCCTCTGTTCCCTTCTTTCCCAGAGGGACACAACACACAAACAAAGGGAAAAAAAATGTCCCCATTTTAAAAAGTTCTATTCCTCCCATTGGCTCTTTTGGTCAGGTGCCCACTCCTTTTCCTTTACCTGGGGAACTCTGTTAACCCTTTACAGGTAAAGCAAGCAGAGAACAGCCACCAAGAGGCACTTTATAGCTAACTGGCTGGCTGGGTGTCCATAAAAGGAAGCTACCCCCATCCTTCATTTATCACACACTCCCGAAATCACAGATGGTGCTGGCCAGCCTGGTTCAGGTCAGGTCCACACCGGCTGGGATTTCTTCCTGGAGGTTTAGGAAACAGAGTTAATAAGATACATGCACCTCTAATTTTATTAATAATTACATGAAGAACTAAACAGTACTTTTTACATTTCAAGGACTACAATACTTGGAATACAGGGAGATTTTTACCCAGCTGATTCTGGGAAACCTTCCTGGGACAGTGCATCAGCCACTTTGTTAGAGGCTCCTGAAATGTGTTGTATTTCAAATCAAAGTCTTGAAGAGCTAAATTCCACCAAAGAAGTTTTTTGTTAGTCTCTTTGACTGTTTGAAGCCACTTCAGTGCAGCACGGTCAGTCTGCAGGTGGAACTGCCGTCCCCAAATGTATGCGTGTAGCCTTTCCAGAGCATACACAATGGCGTAACATTCTTTTTCTGAGACTGACCAATGGCTTTCCCTCTCAAAGTTTTTTGCTGAGAAACACGACAGGATGGAATTGTTGATCTGGTCCTTCCTGCATTAAAACTGCTTCTACACCACGCTTGGACGCATCTGTGGTTATGACAAACGGTTGGTCGAAGACTGGGGCCCTCACTACAGAGTCAGACGTAAGGGCTGCCTTAAGCTGGTAAAGGCTTTCTGACACTTCTCAGTCCTCTGAACTGCATTTGACTGTTTTTTCCTGGTCAGTTCTGTCAGTGGGGTGGCAATTTAGCTGTAGTGTGGTACAAATTGTCGGTAATACCAGGCCAAGCTCAAGAAGGATTGGACCTGCTTCTTTGGCTTAGGGACAGGCCGATTTTGGATAGCATTTACCTTAGCCTGTAGGGGGTTGATAGTACCTTGACCCACCCGGTGTCCAAGGTACGTTACCCTGTTTAGGCCTATTTGACACTTTTTGGCCTTAACGGTTAATCCTGCCTCCCTTATGTGCTGAAAGACAGGTTGAAGGTGTTCCAAGTGTTCGGCCCATGAATCTGAGAATATAGCCACATCGTCAAGGTAGGCGACTGCAAATTCCCCAAATCCAGCCAGAAGGTTATCTACCAGTCTCTGGAAGGTGGCGGGTGCATTTTGCAGTCCGAAAGAGAGCACATTAAATTCATACAGCCCTACATGGATGATGAAGGCTGACCTTTCCTTGGATGGGTCATCTAGCGGCACTTGTCAGTATCCCTTAGTTAAGTCTAAGGTGGAGATGAACTGGGCACATCCAGTTTCTCCAGTAGCTCATCTGTGCGTGGCATTGGATGGTTTTCTGTGCGAGTTACAGCATTTAGTTTACAGTAGTCCACACAAAAGCGATTTCCCCATCTGGTTTGGGAACCAGAACCACTGGAGAGGCCCATGCACTCTGAGGGGTGGATTACACTCAACTGTAACATGTCCTTGATCTCCCTTTCTATTGTGGTTTTGGCTTGAGGAGCCATCCGGTAGGGTTGGGCTCTAACTGGGCAAGCATCACCTGTGTCAATGGAGTGGTACGTCCGTTCTGTCCATCCTGGGGTGGCTGAAAACTTTGGCACAAAGCAGGTGCAGAGCTCCTGGATTTCTGTCGCTGCTTATGCCCAAGGGTCATGGAAAGGCTCACCTCTTCCATGCCACCATTGCTTTTTCCGTCATAGTCGACTCCTTTAGGCCACTCAGCGTCATCTCTCTCCTGGGCTTTAAACTGGAGAACCTTGATTTCTCTGGAATAAAAGGATTTTAGAGAATTAACATGGTACACTTTGGGTTTTAGGGTAGGGTCTGGGAATGCTATGAGGTAATTAACAGATCCCAGGTGCTCTCGGACCATAAATAGCCCCTCCCATGATGCTTCCATCTTATTCAGGACCATGACTTGGTCACTTACTTCGAAGGAACACTCTCTGGCATGTTTATCATACCAGGCCTTTTGCTCCTGTTGAGCATCCTGTAGGTTTTCTCGAGCAAGGGCTAGAGAGTCTTTGAGGGTATTTTGCAGGTTGGTTACAAAGTCCAAAATATTAGTTCCTGGAGAAGATGTAAGCCACTCCCATTGCTGCTTTACCAGCTGCAAGCCCCTTAACTTCGTGACCATAAATGAGTTCAAAGGGTGAAAATCCCAACCTGGGATGTGGTAGAGCCCTGTAGGCAAAGAGCAACTGCTGCAACACTAGGTCCCAATCACTGGAGTGCTCATTCAAGAATTTACGTGTTATGGCCCCCAAAGTCCCATTAAACTTTTCCACTAGGCCATTTGTTTGATCGTGGTAAGGGGTGGTGTAACGAGGGCTTCCTGTTCGCCCTCGCACTATGGGACCTCTGCGCCCACAAATCAGCCAGAGACCTCTTCTGGGTGCAATCACCAGTGCCTTTTATTTACAATGTCAGCTATCACCGCCTTCCATTTACAGACTGCTCCAAACTAGCAACCTAGGAGACAGCTAGTTTCTCCCGCAAGCAGGGATGCACAGCCCTTGCTTCCTCCCTTTCCTTTCTGCCCCCTTTCACTTCCTTCCTGCCAGCCCTATATAGCTCCCTAGCTAATGAGGCCTGTAGGTGCTTCCCTTATATCAATTAGGTGTGGC